GACCACCACTCATGAGTTTGACATGGCAAGGAACCACTGTCGCAGAGACCTGCAAACTGAAGGCTGAACGCATCAACAAACAACTAGTTTAACAAAGCTCGGTAACAAAAAACGCAGCAGCTCGGCGACACCATCTTGCATCATCTCGCAATGCCTCTGCATCCGAATTTCCACAGCATCGGACGACGCGGATGACGCGGTCGCATGCTCCATTCGCACAGACGTTCCCGTCAGCAAATGAAACTGCGACCACAAAACGTCCACAAACGTCACGGGTGCATGACTTCAAACAAACATTTTGCATTCAGAAATTCCGAGACATGCATATCTATTCCCTTGATTTCAAAACAATGCCATGACATGCTTGATTTCAAAACAAAATTGAACGGTGCAATATTGAACGGTACAATGATTCCCGTAGTATTCTTTTGTCCACTGCTCATGCATTTCAATGAAAACATCACATATATTTTTTTCGTGCTATACATTACATAGATCCACTGCATCGTAAACAAACACTGACATTGTCACAATGCAATTCTCGAGATCTCACGGACAGCCCCTACAGAAACCTCGAGAAGTGCAAGAAATGTTACAGATACCCGTTTGCCAATCGTCACTTGTTTCACGAACATTCAGCGTACATATAAGAATATGGATGTTCACTCTGTGCACAATGCATCTTGTCTCTACGTCCACGTCTGAGCCCAGGAAAGAGGTACTTGGTAACTTCTACAACTTCATGCACTAACCTGCTACACACTCGCACAATTCAATGCAAAGAATGTGTTGTTCGAAGCCTGAGACCACGACTCCTGCGTTTGACAAGCAAAAATCATTGTCGCATAGACATGCAAACTGAACAGTGAAGCTCACTATGAACGTATCAATTCCCACACAGATTACCACACCAAACGAACCAAGCTCCGCACGTCCTAGCACGGATACACTAGCAAGCATTGTCACCCTCAATCTCTAACAGTTCCATGTCGTGCGGTCAAAGTACACACAAAATCTTTTACACACAAACGCTTTTACACATGGTGCTTTTACACAAACACACTTTGACACACAGACGCTTTGACACACAAAAGCCTTTACACACAAACGCTTTTACACACAGACGCTTTTACACACAGACGCAACGCTTTTACACACAGACGCTTTTACACACAGACGCAACGCTTTTACACACAAAAGCTTTTACACACAGACGGTTTTACACACAGACGCTTCTACACGCAGATACGTTTTACACACGCACACACGCTTTCACACACAAACGCTTTTACACACAGACGCGTTGACACACAAACGCTTTTACACACAGACGCTTTTACACGCAGATGCTTTTTACACACGCACACACGCTTTCAAACACAAACGCTTTTACACGCAGACGCTTTTACACACAGACACTTGTACAGAAACGAAAGCGTCCATCGCAATTTTTCCTCAGTTTTTGACGTGCAACGTCCATTTCGTGCGAAAGGGTTACGATTGACCAAGTAAAATCGCATTTTTCCTCAATTTTTGACGTCCAACGTCCATTTCGTGCGTAAGGGTTGCGATTGACAACTCAAAGTCGCAATTTTTCCTCAGTTTTTGACGTCCAACGTCCATTTCGTGCTAAAGGGTTGCGATTGACACCTCAAAGTCGCAATTTTTCCTCAATTTTTGACGTCCAACGTCCATTTCGTGCGTAAGGGTTGCGATTGACACCTCAAAGTCGCAATTTTTCCTCAGTTTTTGACGTCCAACGTCCATTTCGTGCGAAAAGGTTGCGCGCGACCAATAAAAGTTGCAATTTTTCCGCAGTTTTTGACGTCCAACGTCCATTTCGTGCGAAAGGGTTGCGCGCGACCAATAAAAGTTGCAATTTTTCCGCAGTTTTTGACGTCCAACGTCCATTTCGTGCGAAAGGGTTGCGCGCGACCAATAAAAGTTGCAATTTTTCCTCAGTTTTTGACGTCCAACGTCCATTTCGTGCGAAAGGGTTGCGCGGGACGCTTCAAAGTCGCAACTTTTCCTCAGTTTTTGACGTCCAACGTCCATTTCGTGCGAAAGGGTTGCGTTTCGTGGCGCTCCGGCGGCACCGCCCCCGCCTTAAGAGAGAATAGAAGAGCGAGAGGAGATCTGCAGATGTGAAGGTGTGAAGATCTAGATCTGCAGGTGTGAGGGTGTGAAGATCTAGATCTGCAGGTGTGAGGGTGTGAAGATCTAGATCTGCAGGTGTGAGGGTGTGAAGATCTAGATCTGCAGATGTGAGGGTGTGAAGATCTAGATCTGCAGGTGTGAAGGTGTGAAGATGTAGATCTGCAGATGTGAGGGTGTGAA